GAACGACAATTTATTCCGTTTAACAGTTCCGGGTGAGATTTTGAGACTTTTGATTTCGTGCAGCGGCCACTGTAGCGCGTATGGCTTAATTTTTAGACCTTTCGATTTTCCGGATCTTTGCCTAGACTGGGAATATGGACCTTGCTGGCACAATTCAAGTCACGAGAGTGAGCAACTCCGAGCAGACGAGCTCCAATGACGGCCTGAATTGCTGCCTGGCACCATTAGCAGGTGAGACCTTATCCCGATTTCAGAAAGGTTTGGGCCATACGGTTTAGGATTCAAAGCTTAGCAATTTTGTTTGGGGATTTTCGGTAATTTAGGGTTGAGGACTTTATGAGCCTTGCAGCCTCAGCTCTTAAGCGATAAAGCCGGATGTGCTCTCAACCTGCAACCTATAAATTTTTGCGGCACCGTGAACCGTGTCCTCGAGCTCACTAACTAAAACCGTATGTGGACGAAGTAACATTTTGTCGCACTTGCGTGGACACTTGTTGAAAAGACATGTCAAAGGTTTACATGCCCATACAGTTTGCATTTTTACAGGTGCCACTGGAGCGTCAGCCGTCAAACGGTGCCATCTCGCAAAATACCGCTACGCTTGATGACTGTAACGAGAAGGTGCACTTGGAACTCAACTCCCCTGTGTAGAGCTGCGTGGTGTAGCATGTCTGTGCCGAGGGCTGACGAATTGCCGTGTGTGGCTTTTCTGTTTGATGAAGCGAAAACTACTTTCGTGGTTCCAAGCGACTCACACGAAAAGTTAGCAGAGTACACTCGCTCTGAAACCACCGAGCTTTCAAGACCTCTGCACGAAACCTTTGCACAATCGGATGCGATGGTAGTATCTCCTGTTGTTAAATGGATGGCAAGACTTCCGACAAAGAGATCACACCCATGCGAGTCGGCAGAGAAATAGTAAAGGCACTGCAGTTTGATTGAACAGGTAAACCACGTGTGATGAAAAGCGCTGCCATCAAAAAACTAACGACGAACGTGGCTGCCAAAGCTCAGCAACTGTGGGTAGCGCCCACTTGTGCGAAGGACGCCCCATTCCGGCAAGTAAGCCGAGACATCCAAGGTGTTTCCACCCGTGATGGGCAAACCCAAAGCAACCCCTTGTGAGGTAAGCGTCGGGAGCATCGTACGCTCCAGGGTTTGGGGAAGCTTATAGCAGCATGATCTGGTTCTGGGATTTTCAGACCCGTCCGTAACAGCACGGCCCCTAATTTGTCCACCACGGGAGGGGCATGTCTGCTGTTGTTTCTCTTCTGTTTTTGGAGATGCAGTTTCGAGCATCCTCCAGAAAATTTCCTTCTGGAGTTGGTCAGTCGTTCTGCATCTAGAACGGTACAAAACACTCTTTCTTAGATGAGCTTTCCAGAGGCACGACAGTATAGTTTTAGAATTGTTAGAAACAACGAAGCTTCAGCTATAGCTCTTGCGAACCTCGGTTCCTCCGGTGCTCTCTCAGCATCAGTCTCATTGGCTTCTTGAAGTCTTGAAGAGCCACTTTGAAATCCTAAGCCTTATTTGATAGATGCCATGGTGTGCATTATGTGATATAGCATAATCTGCTATAGTGGACTATAGGTTGTAAAAAAGTTGACGAATTCCCCTAAGTTTCATCATCTTGGGTCCGATGGATTGGTACCTCATACCGATACCAGATTGCCCCCCCATGTGCCTGAAGCCTCAAATCCTGAATAAACTCCAGCCCTGAAGCCCAAGAGCTGCCCAAACCACCAGGCTCTAAGTCCCAAGCGCCAAAAATCATAAGGCCTAAGCTCAAAGCCCCACAGGCCCGGAACCTTCAACCGTTTCATGCGTCAGCGCTAGAAGCCCTAAACCCTCAACCCCACAAGCCCTAAAGTTCAGAAGCCCTACAACACCCTTCAGGTCGAAAAAGAACCCCAAATACCTTAAGCCTGTATAGAAAATCTTGATGGATCCTTTAAAGGACCACATAACAAGGATCTTCAACCCCCAAACACCCCACAAGCCGCAAGACGCCAAGGCATCAAAGGAGACAACCCCTTCACCACCACGCCCGCCACGCCCTAGTTGCGCGCTGGAGGCCTACAGGGCTTTTCGCTTTCAGAGGGTTGTTGTAGGCGTTCTCATCGGGATTTCACAAGGCTTTTTGCTCATATAGGTGGTTATATGTACATAGGGTGTAGGCTCCTGAATCACGCCAGTCCCTGGGCCTGGGGGAAGCAGTAGATGGGGGGAAGCGCGGCGCACGTGTCTCTGAATCCGCCAGCACAAGGGGAAGGCAGTTTGGCCGTGTTGTCCTGGTGTTCTCCCTGCTTTTCGGTCTCTGGGTTCCTGGCGGTCTTTTGGTGGTCGTGCTAGTTGTCCTCTTGTTGGTGGTGACCGGCGTGGTCGTCCTGGTCCTGGTGCTCGATCACTGTTGGGGATCTATGCCGGCGTACATGGTTTTGCAGAGCTTTGATCGGGTTGTAGGCCCGTGTGTGCATAGCTCATCTTGTATCGTGTCTTTAGGATTCAACAGGACCCTAAGCTCTAAACCCTAAACCCTGTTCGGGTTGACGAGGTTCGGTCAGGTTTTGTAGGACTTCGGGTTGGGGAGGTCGCTTAGGACTTTGGACTTCGATGTTTTCGAGTCTTTAGAGTGCAGGATGCAAGAGTTCGGAGGTTCGGATTGTGGGTTTTCGGATGTTTTCGGGTTAAATTCAGGATACAGGCCTTGAGGCTTTAGCATTGTTGCTTGTCGGATTTGCCTCGAACCCGAACGCCTTACCGCTCTTCACCCCTGACTCGCAAAAAGAAAATCCCTGATTCCTACTTTGACTTTATAGGGCTTTATCAGGCTTTGTTGCGCTATACCTGAAGGTTGCAAGCTATCCTTCGAAGGAAGGCCAATCATTTGCTGCATATCTGTTTTTCCAAAAGACTTCCTCTCGAAGCCCTGATCGTGCTCAGAGAATCCTGCGAAATCCTTGTGATAACGTACACCTCTTTAACACGAAGCCAACAAACCTCAAGGTGGAGGGTGGTCCGTTGCAAAGGCGCCAAAGCACTGTTGCGGGGCTTCGGGATAACACTAAACCTTCAACCCTAAACCCTAAACCTTGTGTTGTTTTCGGGCCCTGGCGGATGTCGGAGTTCATGATGCTTGTGTCCAGGGGTTCGGCTTGAGAGGTTCGGAGCCTAAGGTTCAGAGCTTTCCACTCTCGGGGGGGCTTTAGCCCACATACCCCAAAAATGCTTTGAGCCCTATGAAGACCGACTTCACCCTGAACGGAAAGCTTGGGCTTCATACTGTATGCTTCAGAGGTTCGGGGTTGGGAGTCGGGGATGTACCGGCTTGCCCAAGTCCATGGTTCTGAAGACGACATCTTGGGGAGGCCTCGTGGGTTTAGGGTTTAGGGTGTAGGGTTTAGGGTGTAGGGTTTAGGGTTTAAGGTGTTTCGACTTCACATCCGCGGTAGGTTCTAGATTTTTGGCGAGGCAAGTTGTTGCGACGGACGTCCGACATATTCAGAGCAAGTGTTTTTCGTCACGCCTGTGGAGCTCTATTTGTCCCACCCCGAGAAGCCACCCAAAGACTTTGAGATAAGCTTAAGTTCTTAAGCGTACC